CTCACCTGCACCCCACACCCTCACCTGCACCCCACGTCCTCACCTGCACTCCTGTCCCCATCTCTTTCCTTTTGTCTTTTCGTGGCCTCTCTCCCCTCACTGTGCTCGGCCCCATGGATGTGGGGTCTGCGGAGGCTCCGTGTGTCTGAGGGTCTCCGGGGTCGAAGGGGAAATGCAGGTGATTCACAGGAACGCGAGAGTGGGTGCCTCTGGAAATGTGTGTGTGTGTGTGTGTCTCTGATTGTTGGCAGGTGCTAACGTAGACCAGGGCCCTTTCTGTCCAAAGAAATGAACCCTGTGATTTGCGGGGAGCTCCCTGGGTTCCCCCCTGAAAGGTGGAAGTAATGATACTCATCTGACTTGCCTCCATGACCGGTGTGAGAAATTAACGAAATCATGCCTATGCCGTACTTGGAAACTGACGTGCCATGGAGATGTATGGTCTTGATTATTTTCATTATTATCCTGTGAATGCAAGGGAGTAACTATATCTACATATAGAAGGATACACACTCTGGGGAGAGAAAATATGCACATTCTTTTATTTCAAACCGAGATGCTGGAATGACCTTCAAAATCTTGCTCTACTTTCTCCTTGAGATTTTAAATTCTCCAAAGATCTTTGAACAGCACTGCGCTTAGGACATATTTACTGGATGGATGGGTGGATGGATGGATGGATGGATGCATGGATGGATGGATTCATGAATGGATGGATGCATGGATGGGTGGATGGATGGATGGATGCATGCATGGATGTATGGACAGATGGATGGATACATGGATGGATGCAGGGACAGATGTGTGCATGGGTGGATGGATGAATGGGTGCATGGACAGATGGATGGATGGATGGATGGATGGATGGATGGATGGATGGATGGATGGATGGATGGATGGATGGATGGATGGATGGATGGATGGATGGATGGATGGATGGATGGATGGATGGATGGATGGATGGATGGATGGATGGATGGATGGATGGATGGATGGATGGATGGATGGATGGATGGATGGATGGATGGATGGATGGATGGATGGATGGATGGATGGATGGATGGATGGATGGATGGATGGATGGATGGATGGATGGATGGATGGATGGATGGATGGATGGATGGATGGATGGATGGATGGATGGATGCATGGATGCATAGATGGACGGATATATGCATGTATGTATGTATGTATGTATAGATAGACAGATGGATGGATGGATGGATGTATAGATGGACAGATGTATGTATATATGTATGTATGTATAGATGGACGGATGGATGGATGTATAGATGGACGGATGTATGTATGTATGCATGGATAGATGGATGGATAGATGGATGCATGGATAGATGGATGGATGATGGATGAATGGATGAATGGATGGATGGATGGACAGATGGATGCATGGACGGACAGATGAATGAAACTTGCAGAGGGAAGTGATCTCTTTTCTGTTGTTTTCTCTTCCTTTTTCTTCTTCCCTCTTTAGTTTTTGGAGGCAGAATTAACCCTTGGCTTCAGGCTGGTCACCTTGTGCCTGCTCCACTGTCAACCCCTATGACACATGCGTTCTGCCCGGGTTGGCATCCCCTCTGTGTGGAGTGGGCATGAGGTTAAAGGAGCAGGTTACTTGGGTACAATCTTTAAGCCAATGAAATGTCAGTCAGTATTTCGTAGAAGTCATTGTTACCTTGTCAACAACCTCCCAATCATCTCAATCATGCTCCTTCCTTTAATGTGGTGTCAAAACTCAGAGAGAAGCTGAGTAAAGAGGATACCTGTCCCTCAGGAGGACAGTGCCCTCTCCACTCCAGACATTTATGCACCCACTCCCGCACGCACCGAGCACCCACACCCACCAAGCACCCACAGCACACACCTGCCGGCGTTTGGGGGTTGGCAGCCGGGAGGCTGCTGGGGCCCGTACAGGTCTTCAAACATAACTCACTCTCTCTCCTTCTGTCTCTGTTTTAGTTACAGGAACTTGGTCAGTTTAAAGGATTTAATAAGTCCGTGGAAAATTTGTTTCTGTCTGTTACCACTCACATGAAAAGTAAGTGGATGCCTCTTCCCATGTTCTTCCCAGCATTACCTGTGCCGCCAAGGCCCAGGCCGAGGCTGGACAGGGCCCCTCTCTCTGCCTCTGGCTTCTGGGGAAAGCCAGGGCCCCTGGTCCTGCACCCTCCACCCTCAGAGCAGGCCTCTGGGTCCCTGGGGAAGAGGACCCTCCAGTTTGCCAGAGGCTCCCCTTCTCCCATCCTGGGCAGACCTGCCCAGCAGCGCCCGGGGGCGAGGAGCTAGCTGGTGGAATGGGGATGAGGTTAAAGGGGCAGGTTACTTGGGTACAGTCTTTAAGCCAATGATAAGCTGGTACTCATCCTCGCTCCTGCCAAAGACCAACACGAAAACAGAGAGAGAGGGTCCAGTGCACCCAGAACCAGAGCCCCTCAGGCGGGCGGGCCCTGGCCTGCCTTTGCCTGCAGTGCTCGTCTGGTCTCCTGTTCTCCCGGGTAAATTGATGTTCTTCGATTAGCAGTAATCATGCTCCCTGCAAGGACCCAGCCTGCTGCTTACAAGTTTTGTTCTTTCAATGTTTTTTCTGCTCAGAGATTTCTTCCTGTTTATCTTAAAATACATCCAAGAGCAGGCTGGGTCTCGGCTCCCGAGGTGCCCGGAGCGGGCCAGGCGTCTGGGGAGGCTCCTGGGGCTGGGGGCCCCCAGTCCATTCTCTCACTGCTGCCTGGCCCCGCCCCTCGCCCTCTCTCTGCAGCGGCATGTGCTGGTCTCCGTGTGGTACCTGGCCCGAGACAAGCTTATCGTTTTAATTATTCCTCTGTATTTCCCATGAGCCCTGCTGAGCTGTGGCCCAAAGACAGTCAAGTAAAAGCCGCTTTCAGATCCGCACAGAAGTGACTGTGTCATGTGACAGTCTGTCCCCCTCCGCTCAGAACGGGGAGCAGCCGAATTTCATGGCCTTTTGCTAATAGAGCTTGGAGGTTTCAAAACACCCCTGTCACTCAGCCAGGCTCTGGGGCGCCAGAGGGGCTCCTCTCCCACGGACACTGACGCAGCGGACTTCTCTGCTTTCTTTCTTTTTCTTTTTTTTCTTTTTTTAGTATAATTTTATTGATTTCAGAGGAAGGGAGAGGAAGAGAGATAGAAACATCAATGATGGAAGAGAATCATTGATCGGCTGCCTCCTGCACACCCCCTACTGGGGATTGAGCCCCAAACCTGGGCATGTGTCCTGACCAGGAATTGGACAGTGACCTCCTGGTTCACAGGTTGACACTCAACCACTGAGCCACACTGGCTGGGCTCTGCAGTCTTCTTAGATGCACAGCCTCTCCCCAAATCCTGTGGCTTATGTGACCCCTCCCCCACTGCCACTCTGGACACCCCTCAGTGTTGATTCGGACCCTGCTGTCCCGCAGCCCGACCCCCGGAGAGGCAGGATCACGGTTCGTCTTGTCCAGCCACATGGCCCTCCGCGTGGGGACCACATGCGGGCGCCGTGGGCGGGCTCACGCCCCACAGCCTGCCTGATCATGTGTCACACGTTTGAGACTTGCCCGTTTAGTGCCCATGTGGCCAGGTCATCGTTATAGGGCAGCAGACCCAGGCAGACGCTAGAGCAACCCCCAGGGGACTCAAGCAGCTCCAGTCTCTGCCCCGGGACATGGACTGAAACCCCCAACCCGCACCCCCTCCCCCTGTCCAGGTGCCGCTGCTCACAGGACCCCCAGCCCTCACCCTGAGGCAGGGACACAACACCCAGCTTCCTGAGCCCCTGGGGATGCCCGTCCACCAAGCCCCTTCCCTGTCCTTCCGCTGGCCCACTGGACGGCCCAGGGCGCACACTCCCCTCACCGGCTCAGGGGGCGGGGAGGGCTGGCGGGGAGCGGGGGTGGCCAGGGAGCACCTGGCAGCTTTTGGCTTTGGTGTTTCTCCCGCTTTGGGCTCTTTGGGCCGGCACCTTTCTCGATCCTCTTGGCTGCCCGCTTCCTACAGAAGTGCCTAGAGAGGGCAGCCCCACC